CTCCTAAAAATGTTGAGCAAACGCCGCAGACGCCGCTTCCGCAAACGCTCTGTGCCGAGTTCGCCCAGTACAACATGATCCCAGGAATTCGAGCACAAACTCATCCTATGTCAGTATTTCTTGAACTCATGGCCTATCCACGTAACGAAGACATTGTTCTTCATGAACTCCTACTGTGCTTATCCTAAGGATTTTGCCACCTCAGTCACATTAGGGCTATGAGCGTCTTGCAACTGCTCACAAAAATCACAGGGACACTTTCTAGTTAGTTCTAAATATTTAGAACACCTGTACGTTCTAGTTTGAGAGGTGATAGTCATAGGCTCAAAAGTTTTTTTTAGAAACTAGTCATTTTCTCTTACCAAAAACTAATATGCGGTTGCTGGTTTGGTCATTTTGTTTCTGTGGGAGGGACAGGGAGGGAAATCGTTTTACGTCCATCGGTTCCACCTGTATAAATATGCAGCCTATTCAAAGGCATATTTAGAAATCGGATCATTCAGTCAGTTACTTCCGAGAATAAGGGGTACTGGATTCGTTGCCGCAGAGGGAGCCATTGCCGCGACTAAATGCGTATGGAGCCGAGGGCTCAGAACCCAGTCGTAGAGACCTTAAGTAACCACGTATCCCCGCCGTAGCGGTATCTAACATCTTGCTTTTGCTTTTTCTTTCTACCGTTCACCCTGTGCTCCCACGGTTTCGCGTTCACTTTGCTCCCAGAATCTTATTAAAAAGGAAGAACACAGCAATAAAATTTTTAGTGATTTCTTTTCGTGTTTTTTCGATGACCAACTGATCAGCGATTTCTGTTCCACATTTCCACCTATTTACCTGTTTTTGCTTTCGCAAAATATACATTAATGCCAGAGTATAATCACTTGAAATAGCGGTTATATGTGATGTCAAACTCTGTTGTTCTTTTTCTAGCTGCTGTAACATCAGCGCTGAATATCCCTAAAAAACCCGTCTTAAAAATCACTGCACAGGAATAAAGACGGAAACGCGCTACAAAATGCATGAGAGTTTTCCTTGTCCAAGAGCGTAAAATCGTGCTCTTTCCATCTCGCGTTCAACACGGTGTTCGGCTGTCCATTCGTTTTAGTCATGAAGATTTTGCCGTTCGGGAACTTCCATCAGTCCATTAAAAGACCATTTGCACCTCAACGGCTATTGCTTTCGATCTATGAAGTTTATGGCGTTTTTTTCTCTGAGGAAGGCATGGAATCGCTAGAAATTACTCACGGAGGCTATTTGATGCAACAAACATGACATACATTGTGACATGTATCACTAAACGCTAGAGAGCGTTTTTGCTATACAGTTATTCTTCCTGGAAAAGTGAGCAATTTTGGCTCACTTCTCTTAAAGATGAAGGGCAGATGGTGTAAGAAAGGTCTGGGAATATGAGTGCATTGCAACAAGCAAGGCACACTTTATGAAAAATAGCCAGTCTTTGCACCCATTTACCTTCGAAGTTGAAAGCTGGTTCAGAAGAAATCAGCATTATTTGGGCCATCGAGTCTGAGGTCCATCATTTGCCTCCTTTCGAGCTCTTTTATCGGCACAAAGCTTGTACGGGCAAATAAAAACAGCAAAGTGCTCGTACCCATCCCACGCAAGTCGTTGCAAGTCAATGACACGCCTTAAAGTGCCTCTTAGACCCTCAATAGAACTTGAATGCGAATCAAGAGTATCACTGAGATAACCCTTTTTCTCAAAATTGATTCCAGCATTTTTTCTGGGAAAAACTAAAGAATCGAAATCAATGAGAAGAGATTGAATCCGCCAGAGCCCTCCCACACTATATCAAGATTGGGAACCAAAGAAGCGATCTACTCCCTTTTTTATCCCCAAGAGATAACTAGATTCGAATATAGGTTAATGCAATGAGTCATTTAATCCGACAAGGCCAAATAGTATTCTCATTAGCGCTCTCTGACGACATGGCAAGATTTCATTTTGATAAAGACGGGTCGTGCATTCGAAGGGAACTACAACCCTCAAGTGATTCAACATAATCATAAGACTTCAAAATCATCCCTAGAGTATTATTTTTAATTCGACTCTCTTAATTACTGCATAATTGCTAGTAATACCTATTTTCCAGTCTAGTGGTTAATTTCTAACTAATATGCGCTCGGGTGCGGCTTACCTTTCGAGCCATTGTTCTTTGTGATTCAAAACTTAGCTTTAGACCACCCACCGCTCAGCTCTGAGCTGTTGGAACTGGAATTGCGGGGGTTATAAACAGGGTCTGTCCTATCGTTGTTACTTTTCGAAAAATTTTTACGACCCCCCTCCCACAAACTCAACCAGGTACGACCCCCGCATTGT